ATAATCCCTCCCAATTTTTGAATAAAAGAAAGTCTACAAATATTTATATATTTAATAGAGTTAAATACACAGTTTACCATTGGATACTTTCTTCTTCTTGCCAGTCTGAGGGTGAGTCCATTGTGTAGACTTGGCTTCATGGCTGTGCACAACATGCAACTTTGGTGGATCACACTATAGCATACAATTTGCATATTGGATAGGAATCACAAAGAGTAACACAACCATTTGCATAAAACATCATTTAAACAGTAGAGTGTTCAATAAGAGACCATAGTCTTAAACCATGGTTAAACCTTGAGTTGGTCTTTCATCAGACACTCAGTTTAGGTTGAAACGCTCCTTATGCCTAACTTAACAGAGTCATTGATGAGACCAGCTCCAGGAAGAACCAGATTTAAGCTATGGTCACTCAGGGGAGTCTACTCTTTAAATAATGTACACAGTAGAATATCCCCCCCCGAAGTTGATCCACTTTGCCGTAGTGGGGGGGCCCCGAGTCCGACTTCCAAGTCGTTCCGCCAAGAGATCAACACCACAGAGGTCCGTACGTCTCTTGACCTCACGGACAATACAGCAGCTCATGATCACACCAATGGTGAGCTGCTAGAAGAATGGGCAATTCTCATAAGCATAAATAAATAAGTAGAATATCCATGAGAGAACACTCAGGCTAGAGGACACCTCCCTACAGAGAACAGTTTTAATTGCCAAAATGACTATTTTGAACTAATTAACTGCACTCAATGGTAAGAGGACCCCTCTTCCTGAAGAATATTTTTGCTCTGCAACAAGGTGCTGTTCTTTAGAGAGAGGTAGTTCTACGGTACACCCATATCTCGCTTTGCGTCGGGGTTACGTTCCAAAAAAACACGACGCAAATTGAAACGACGCAAAGTGAAAATATGTGAAGGCGCAATCAAAAATAACAACAACAACAAAAAGCTTTTATTTAGGGTCACTGACACAGGATTCACCAGAGGTATGCATAAGGCAATCAAAAATAAAGGTGTTGCCATATTTTAGGGAAAAAAAAAATCTAAAAAATTTAAAGACTCAATCCAAAACAACGCAACTTCAAAAATCTAACGACGCACAGTGAAAATCAGTAAAAATTAAGCAGTGATGCAACTTTGAAAAAAACACAAAACGAAATGACGCAAAGCGAGGTATTGGTGTATTTGGATTTGTTACCATATGAATAGTGGAATACAACAATGTATACAGTAGAGCTACCTCCCTGTGAAGGACAACACCTAATTGCAGAGCCAAAGTGTCCTTTAGGGAGAGGTGTCCTCTTACCGGAGAGTTGCTAAATAGTAAACATGGTCATTTTGCAAATTAAAACTGTCCTTTGTAAATAGGTGTCCACTAGCACAGGTGTTCTCTCATGGAGATTCTACTGTATTAAAAATAGATGTGACCTGGATGGCTTATATACTTAATTACCAAATTTTTTTTATAAAAATTATTTTTTTCTGGTTAAAGTTTCTTGTAGGAAGAATATGCAAATTTCATGAACCAATTTTAACTTATTGCTGAATTCCTGTGATAAAGGTGGCAGTGAGTTGCTGAAATTCTGGGCAGTTCAAGTTGAAAATGTTTGATGTTGGTGATATATTCTTTCTACAAGATAAAATGATAGAGAATCTTTTGTACATTTCAAGACTTTAATTAAACACAGTTGTGCACTCATGGACAAAACAAAAGGAAGTGGAAAGTCTTCAATGTTGAGAGTTGTCTATTTTTTGAAGGAGACAGAGGAAATTTTGTTCACATTTGGTTATCTCGTGTGTCTTCAATAAAGGTCACTGTAATATCTTTCATAGTTATTATCTGAATCCTGATATACATTCTGAAAGGTACAACTTCCTTAAATTTTGTCCATGAGGGTATTTTTTGAAGGGTGGGTCTATCTCTAGGATTTTTTTACAGTTTCACCCAACAGAAGACCAATTACAATGGTATCTCATTATAAGAGAATATTAAAGCAATATGGTTAGAACATCATATTTCTAAAGTTTCAAGTCTTTAAGTCTTTATTATTTCAACTGTGGGGGGCTATAACAACATAAAATATTGGTCCTAAGTAATGTTATAGTGAGATCTTACTATAATTATAAGTCTTTAAGTTTCATTATTTTTAACCACAATTAAGTACAATTGGGATTATAGATTTGAAAAACATAAGTTAATAAGACTAAATACAAATAAATAAATAATGTATGACAAGAGGTAACAGCTTTATTATTATCATCAGACAAAAGTACCGAAAACATTTGATGATGGTAACAATGCTGTTACAGAAACATCACAAACTATTTATACATTTGGATTTGGTCTTATTACCTTGTGTTTGATACCATTTTATTAATTGCTCTTTTCCTTCCTTCAGTGCCTTCCTCTATTGAGGGTGGGTCAAATGGTCTCTCCATACTTCCTCCGCCATTCTCTTCAGGGCTCTGGGTTGTGCCATAGGCTAGACAGATTGCATGGCAGATTTACATTCTCTACAAAGACCATGTGTTACTCTGGGGCTGATACTGTGTCTTTGGTCCACCCCAGGTATTTCATTTCCACGGTACCACCCATTTCTGGGAGGCATTCCCCTATAATTGCTCTTTTAGAATCCTTTACATTTTTAATGTAACTTTTGTATGGTTATGTGATGATAAAGATGATAATAAAGGATAGATAGGTACTAACTTAGCGTAGTAAACCTTGCCATCCAGGGTGGTCCGTTCTTCCCAGCCTGGGGGCAGCTCATCATCACTGTCTGTATCTGGGAGTAGGTTGGCCATGGTGTTCCTACACAAACTCTGTACCTCATTAGTGATGACATGGTATACACTTGTTTCAAGATTAGATAAGATTTACATGGAAACAAATACAGTTACTGTTCAACTTCTTTAAGTCAACACCCATAGGAATATGTTGGTAAAGATGATTATTAGGCTAGTACTTGGAAGGATGACTGCCTTGGAACATCTTGCTGTAGGCTTCCCCTCATGATAAAAAATAATAAGTTTAAAAATCTTTCTTTAATCTTCATCCCCTCTTCAATGTGTAGCTCTCCAGTATGGTCATAAGAGGGTCTCCTGTATTTGAGTAGATGTCGTCTAAACTTAGTTTTCCTTTTGATTACTTCATATCAAAAACTATAGTCTCTCCATTAAATCTGCTCCAAAGTTCTTTGATTATCAATTCATTGTAACATTCACTGTTAGTTGAATTTTTTTTTGACACTTAAGAGAATTAAGTAAAAGGCATTTCCTGATTGCTCAGTTACACGATCAGGAAATGCCTTTTTTTCTTAATTTATCTCTACCTGATCCAAGTATAAATTCACTTTTGTACTATTTTTCACACTTGAAGAGAATGTTGAATTGAAGTCTGTTCGAAAATTAGAATCCCATTTGCTATGGACAAAACTTAAGGAAGTTGTAACTTTTAGCATGTATATTGGGATTCAGACAATAACTCTGAAAGATATTACAGTGACCTTTATTGAAGACACACAAGATAACCATGTGTGAGCAAAATTATCTCTGTCTCCTTCAAAAAAAAAAAAAAAAAACTGATGACAGGCGACATCAAGGACTTTTCAATTCCTTAAGTTTTGTCTGTGAGTGTATATAGAATATAAAAATTCCTATATTGAGGTTTATATAAAAACACAATCCGCAACTAACAAGAGTATTTTTTAACTATAACGCTGCCTCTTTAAAAAAAAAAAAAAGAGGAGGTGTAATAGTTAAGGATATTCCTGTGACTTAAAAGTCCAAAAGCTAGAAATAATAAAATTATTTTCAAGAAAATTATCCCTAAATATTTTTAAACCAAATAATTAAACTCTGTTGGTGAAATATAGCAAGTTGAATTAAAGTACTTAGGCTAATTGGGATTTGAAAAACATTTGGATTATAGTAATTGTGTTGAATTGAAGAAGTTATATATATATACAGTAGAACCTTCATGTGAGGACACTCACACAAGAGGAGACCTCTCTTTTTCTTCTTTCTTATCTCCACTCAATCATATTACGGTATCAAGCTTGTAAAGTTGACAAACATCATAATTGGGTGAATTAAAATGTGTCTGCCTTTGTCATTAAGACTGGGAGCACTACTCAGTGGCAGGCCGACTTAGCTCCGAATGAAATGGCCGCCTCTGACATCTTCTTTCTTATCTCCACTCAAACGCCGCCTCTGACATGAGGAACAGATGCCATGTGCAGCCACTCCTAACATGGAGTACAAACGCTGCTCATCCTGTATCCCTGGATTAGGAGCCCTTACAGGGTACTATCAGCCGGGCCAGCTGAACCCAGGTTTTTTAGTGAGCTTGTTACTGCTCCCCATCCTCCTTTTTCATCCGGGCTTGGAACCGGCAAAGGTGGAGTTAGACCTCTCTACAAAGGACAGTTTTTGCAAAATTACCATTTTTGCTATTTAGTAACTCTCTGGTAAAAGGACACCTCTCTCTAAAGAACACCTTGGCTCTGAAATTAGGTGTCCTTTACATGGAGGTTCTAATGTAATGTAAGAATTCAATATTTCCATTGCTAGAGGAAACCTCAAGATGACATAACACAGATAAGATGGCAAACAAAGAAGTTTGGAACAGATTTAATAGGGTCACTATAGAACAAGGTAATAAGACCAAATCCAAATAAATAAATAGTGTGTGATGTTTCGGTAACAGCGCTGTTACCGAAACGTCACACACTATTTATTTAGATTTGGTCTTATTACCTTGTTTTATAATCTATAACCCAAATTGTGCTTTATCTAGGGTCACTATAGTTTTTGATATGAAGTAATCAAAAGGGAAAATTTGAGTTTACATGACATCTACTCCAATATAAAGAAGACCCTCTCATGACCATAATGAAGAGCTACACCTTGAAGAGGGGATGAAGATTAAAGAAAGATTTTTTATCATGAGGGGAAGCCTACAGCAAGGTGTTCCAAGGCAGTCATCCTTCCAAGTAATGGCTTACAGCCATACCACGTTGAAAACATCAGTTCTTTTCAAATCATTGAAGTTAAGCAACCTCAGGACTGGTTAGTACTTGGAAGGGTGACAATCTCGGAACACCGGTTGCTGTAGGCTTCCCTTATTTTATATCATAAAAAATCATGGTGTGTAAGGTACAATTTGGATTAATAGATTAAAACTACAAGGTAATAAGACCAAATCCAAATAAATTAATAGTGTGTAATATTTCGGTTACAACACTGTTACCTAAATGTCACACACTATTTATTAATTTATTTAGAGTTGGTCTTACTACCATGGTGGGTAGTTAGCGACTATTTTTACTGTAAGAGAGAGAGAGAGAGAGAAGTGTTGCATAACATGTCTACATATGTAAAACAACACTTGAAGTTACACCGCATGAGTTTCTTTTCAATGAAAAATCAAAATTTATTTCAAGGTGAAATATTGACTATTTCTAACCTTTTTGGATGAGGTGTGAAGGGTGAATTATGAAGAATTATCCAAAAAGGTTAGAAATAATCAATATTTCACCTTGAAATAAAATTTTGATTTTTCGTTGAAAAGAAACTCATGCGGTGTAACTTCAAGTGTTGTTTTACAATCACAAGCCGCAGTGTATTATATTATATTTACACATGTAGAAAGAGGTTTGCCAGTGAGCAGATGGGATCAAGGAAGCTACTGTAGGGTCACTAGATGAGTGATGGTCATTAAGATATCAAATTGGACAATATTTATCCATAGAGTCACACCAAAAGTCAAACTTCACTTGTTGGATACTAACAACAACAAGCTTTTTATCCAAAGAAGATAATAATATTTTTTTTTGTTTATCCCTATTACTTGTGGTACAGGCCATGATAATCATGGTGGGTAGAAGTTGGCGATTGCTTTTACTGTAAGTGCACCACATGTCTACACATGTGAAAAGCAGTTCGACTTTGCACTTACAAATGTGCCAGAGCCCCGTTTGGTTACTTGCACTCGCTGGTGAGGTTGGACTTTTACAAGAATTGGGAGCCATTGGAGAATTTTTTTTTTTTTTCAGAAAAAAAGTGCCCAATGCAGGAATCGAACCCGGGTCGTAGCGGTTGAAAACCAACGGTTTAGACCATCATTCCACAGACCCCCCTGATGATAATATTCTGTGATATATCGAAATGTAACATGATGAAAACTTACTTAGTCTCATTACCTTTAGATATGAATGCAAGAATTCTGCCTTTGCAAGTTACAAGCCTGGATCCATAGGTGCAGTAATGAACTCGCTAAAAAACCTGGGTACGGCTAGCCAAGATGAGAGTACTCTGTAAGGGCTCCTGATCAAAATGTTGGGGGGTTGGTGGAAGCTGGTTAAACCGTTTGGTTTTCGACCACTACGACCCGGGTTCGATTCCTGCATTGGACACTTTTTTCTGTTAAAAAAAAATGCTCCAATGGCCCCAGATTCTTGCAAAAGTCCAACCCCACCAGCAAGTGCAAGTAACCAAACGGGGTTCTGGCACTTTTGTAAGTGCAAAGTCTAACAGCTTTTCACATGTGTAGACATGAGGTGCGCTTACAGTAAAAGCAGTCGCTACCTACCCACCATGATTATCATGGCCTGTACTACATGTACTAGGGATAAGCAAAAAAAAAAAGTACCTTATGTTAAAGGTATTTCCTATGAAAATCAAATTTTAAATGCAGTATTATCTAGATGGTTATGGACATTGATATATTTTATATAGGTATTTTAAAAAACATCTATCTGATTTCCAGACTTAAGTCTGGTCATCTACGGACAATGACTTTCCAGAATGGTTGCAAGGTTTTCCCACTATGTACTAAATACAATTCTCAACCTGCAACCCCAAACTACATTATTGACTGTATTGGCTCATGCATTGATGTGCTCTACTCATCCCCGACAGACACCATCAAAAGTCTCAAGCTTTACAAGCTTGATACCCTAATATGATTGAGTGGAGATAAGAAAGAAGAAGAAGAAGAAACATATTGATAGAGAGAGAGATAAGAGAAAATGGAACCATGGAAGTTGTCATCTACCCTCAACCAAAAAAAAAAAATGTAACAAAAGTTTGTTCCATCGATTAATTCATAGATGGAGAAATTTGTCATTCAAATAGTGTTACAATACAGCTATATTTTTAAAAATTCTTCAAAAATATTTATATTGAATTATTGCACAATATTGAAATTATAACACATGCATATAAACAAAAATATATCCTTTTTAAAAATCTTTGTCTAGTCTTTTTTCATATTAAACGACAATATACTATCATTGAAAAAGTTATCTATTGTAACCCTAGATGATTTTTAAAAATAAAAACGATTCAAAGGGTAATCTTAAAATTCTAAATATTCTACTATTTTTTTGTGTAATATAACACATGTCTTGTATAAATGCTAACAACTACTTGAAATTAATATACATATTTTTTTAAAATTATTTAATCAATTCAAAACTATAAATTCAATATAAAAACCAACAGGAGGAGTAAAACCAAAAGATTCTCGTACCGACACTTGAAACTAAATAAAAACACAAATGATGTTTACAAAATAATGATGATGATAATACAATACAATTTTCTATATTTAAAAATGAAACTAAAAAATTATTTTGATTAGTTTAATAAAATATTTAATTATATATATTGCATTTTGATATATCCATAACTCATTTATTATTTTTATTATATATGCGAGTTACGAAAAATTGACTTTGAAAAACGCCGCTTATATTTCGTAACACTGCCTATATCATCTAAATAACATACCTGTATATCTCGGTTTGTTATTGCGTATAGACAAAATCCTTAGAAAAGCAAAACAAAGTGACACTTTAGAAAAATATACCGTCAAACCTTATTAAAGATAAATAGAATTTGCTAAAAGGAGGTAAGAAAGTAATTTTTTGTTATCTAGCTGAAATATGCATTGAAATTAAATTGCGATATACCCTTTAAAAAATGATTGAAAAGTGCGACATATTAAACCATTTCCAATTCGTGCATTTGGAAACTAGTTTATTTTGCACATATTGTAGCAATGCGCATACGATAGCAAAAGAATGTTAAATTATTTTATCTTTAGAATTTATTTTCAGGTTGAAAATATTTGGAAGTTTAAAAGAAAAAAATATATCGTATGCTTTTTTTCTAACCGAATTCTTAACTTCAAATGACGTATAATTGGTGAAGAATCCTTTAGATTAAACATTAATTTTTTCCTCCTTCTACATTATCAGACGACTATTTAAAACTATATTTCACTAATAAAATAATATATATTATGAATTATGAAATTTAAAATGTTAAACAGTAATTTGTGTTCACAAATTTAACAATTTCAAACTTATAGAAACTTAGATTTTTAATATACATTTTCACAAACCTTTGTATTAATGGTATCTTGCTCTTACATCTTTATCAATCCACCTTGGGATAGATTGACCTATATCAACTTCAAAACAGCTTATATACAGAAATTAATCATAGCTCACAATCTATATATAATAAATGAAGGCATTAAAACACAGATATTTCTTTTACATATAAAACCAACTTCTACTGTCCTTACTGCAATGGTAAAATATTAGGAGGGCTTGGCTCATCAGTGGTGAACCCTCCCAGCGGTTACATCAATTTATTTTACCAGACCGCTTCTATAGAGCTCTAATACTGTATTGGATCATTCTACTTATATATGTTACACTGAAGGGTGGAATCTTAGAAATGGATTCAAGCAAACTATTTTAAGCTTATGTCCATATTTCTTCTAAAATACCAATTCCAAGAGTCTAGCAACACAGTATCACTATAAAAGGACGTTCCAAAAATGCAATATAATAGCGGTATGGTATATTAAACTGGCGAAACCGCTGGGAGAGTTCACCACTGATGAGTCAGGCCCTCCCTTTAATTTTTTCAATGCAGTAAGGGCAGTAGAAATTGTTTAATTTCAAAAAGAATCTTACGAGTTTAAAATAGTTTCGAATTTTGATAAATATTTGTATTGAGCAATGCTCTTCAACAAACAATAAGAACAAGGCCAGTTAAGGCATAAATTACTTATAAGGCAATAATGTGCCATCTATACATAATAAATGAAATCATTAAAGCACTGATATTTCTTTACACATAAAACAAATTCTACTGTTCTTACTGCGATGAACAAATATTAGGAGGACTTGGTTTATCAGTGGTGAACCATCCCAGCCGTTTCACCAATTTAATCTATTAGACCAAGCATGTCAAACTCAAATCCTAACACGGGCCAAATAAAAAAATAATAAGATTATGTGGGCCGCAAAAATATTATTATCATATTATTAAAATATTATAATATTATCAAAAAAACTTACGACTTATATATGGCGACCAGTGGTTCGTTATTAATAAATAAATTATGTATAATTACAATTTTTAAAAATTAAGCTACAAATTTTTATTATTATTTTTTTAAATTTATAAAAAAAAATTATTAAAATATATTGTCTGGTGGGCCGCAAATTTATTCGTTGTGGGCCGCATGAGGCCCGCGGGCCGCTAGTTTGACATGCTTGTATTAGACCATGCTTCTTTTTTGAGAACCTCGCAAGAGCAATGGATTATTGTATTTGGGTAGTAAATTAGCCTGGTGGGCCGGCTACTGAGAGTCACTAGGGGTCGGTCCAATGCTGGGTTCCAGGTCTGGTCCAGAGGGATTGTTGGGGTTTGGTTGTAGAGGGTATTGCTGCTGTAACGTGATTCTTTAGTATGTATAAAAAAAGGGTAACCAAGGAGAGACATGGTCTGTGGTCAAAGTACGTCCATTTATATCTGTGGTATCTTCTTCTTTCTTATCTCCACTCAATCATATTAAGGTATCAAGCTTGTAAAGCTTGAGACTTTTGATGGTGTCTGTCGGGGATCAGTAGAGCACATCAATGGATGAGTCAATACAGTCAATAATGTGTATCTGTGTGTGTGTATCTATATAACCAATTAATATATCAATGTAACAAGCTCACTAAAAAACCTGGGCTCAGCTGGCCTGGCTGTAAGGGCTCCTGATCCAGGGATACAGGATGAGCAGCGTTTGTACTCCATGTTAGGAGCGGC